ACTTGAGGTGGGCTCTTATAAGTAAGGGCAACATTTTCAAAAGCAGCCAAGTGAGGTAGGAGCCTAAGGACGTCTACACTGCCATGTAGTTCAAAGTAATGGAGTGTGCACTGGCATGCTGCTCTGTAACTTTCCAATCTAGATGCTGCAAGTGTGAATTTGCATATATGTAGTACTCTCTGAAGAGGGACTTACTCCTGACATACTATAGTGTGAGTGGAGAAACAGGTCCTAGGTATGTATGTTTCACTTCCTGTGCACATACTAGGTTTTTTATTCTAAGTATGTTCTAGGCCCCACCCTTTTGACAGCCCTTCGGCAGCTGTGTACTTTATGCTTTTATTAGGATGTGAGAATTCTCACACAGCAGGAGAATTTCACGCAGCAGGATGTTTTATTGATCTAACAACTGGTTTTTGTTCCTAAAAATATTGTACATTATGGGTGGGCTTCCTAGGGAGCAGCAGCTTCAAATGATGCCTGCCTTTGATTTCGTAAGCATAAACCCTATGATGTAACATATGTAAGTATATAAGAATTGCCGTATTGGTTCAGACCAACCTATCTAGTCTAATATTCTATCTGTGACAGTGGCCAGTACTAGCTCAAGAAACCCTGCAATCGGTAGTTACAGGATAACCTACTCCAGGAAAAGCCTAAGAAGTTACTCCCCAATAGTTAGAAGCAAATTAGGAGGAGATAGATCTCTCTCAGGACGTAGCCCAATACTATGGAATGAACTCTCCCGGGAGTTAAGGATTCTCACAAAACTCCCCATCTTGAACACTATTTCTTTGCCTTTTCTCACAAACACAGTGCAACATGAATGTATCTATATACTGTTATTATTTAAAAAAATCTAAAATAAAATACTCCACACCTTGCTCCTCCTGAGAACAGGATGAGAGAATGAACATATGGAAGATGTTAGTCATATTGCTTCACGCACTGCTGGAAGGTTTCAGATACTACAGTGCTGAGAATGATATAAGAACCTGAATAGGACTTAATAGAATTAAGCTGTGAAGCACAAAGGGTCATATCCCTTTAAAAATACTTCTTTCTTTAGTATTTACTAGAACACTTCTGGATATCTGTATCCATATAAATATTTGGTTCCTGTCTGAATCCTGCTAAGCTTTTGATAATGGCATGTGGTAATGAGATCCACAGGTTAATTGTGTATCATGTAAAAAAAAGTACTTTCCTTTCATGTCACAGTCACATTAGGTATCTGAATATCATGTGATGCTATAATTATCACCAAAGAGATTACACATTATTTTTCTGCAGGGGAAAATGACAGACTGTACAAGTAGCACCAAAGTTTTAAGGATAAATTTCAAATAGCCAAAGTGTCCAAAGGCAGAGCAACAAGCTTTTGTCCACTGTAGTGTTTTGCAGTATTATTTGAGGTTTCTGACCCCTGTGTATATGCGGTGTTGTTGTCCAATTCACAGCAACAACACAAAAGTTAATGCATGTATAGACAGCTGCTAACAAGAAAATGATTTTCATTTCCATTCCCAGATCAGTGCCTATAGCCCAGGTGAGAGCAATAAGCAGCCCACAGGCTGGACACAGTTCACCAGAGTTAGCCCCTAATGAGCCTCTAGGGGCTTTATTTATCTGTGTGTTAGCAGATATGACCACTTGCAGTTCCCACTGACTGTGGTTTGCTGTTCCGAGCCAGTGGAAGCTGTGGAAAGGGGCATAGGCGGAGCAACTGCTTCCTTTAACTGCTCCCATTAGCCAAGAAGGGTGAACTGAGGCCACTTAGCACTCCTGTTGCAATCTCCCATTCTCATTCCATATGCTGATCATAATTGTCCTTCACACCCTACCAATCTACAATCTGAGTGCCTCCTTTTTAATCCCTGAGCCCCCATCCAGACAAACGATGTCTCACATTGCTGAAGGAGGAGCAGAAAAAGCTGGGTGGTGGACAGGATCAAAGGGCCAGGAGCAGGGGCTGTATACTTAGCAACTAGCAAAATGGGGAAAGGTTCTTGGTAAGACTCTATGCACTACTTTAAAAAAACAAGTAAAATCTGAAGCAGACAGATAATTTCCTTCCTCTTTTCTCCTTAGTGCCATAGACAGGAGGCACAAACAGGTGACTTGACAAGCTCAGCATTGAAACACCTCATTAAATTACTACTTTAAAAACTGTTGATATCCAGTAATAAAATGAGATCCTAAGACAGTGAGTAACCTAAGATCTACTAGGCAGTTCTGGGCATCTTTAGTTCCCATTTTCTTTCTTTAATTTTTATACCAATCAAATATATCCCAACTTGATTCATTTTCATCCTCCCACTTCTGGCCATTACTTAGCCAAGCTACACACAATTTTTCCTGTATTCTAGCCTGCCTTGTTTCCAGCTTTTGTCTCTGCAAACTGCCTGGATCATGTGGTACCTTCATATTAAGATGAATGTACAGGCCAGATCCTCAACTAATGCAAAGAAGTGTTGTTCAGCTGAAGTCAATGGGAGAGGGCCTGGCTTTAAATTAAGTGTTCATACAATGGAAAGCAGCACAGAATAGGAGAAATCTGAAAGGGGAATGAGGGCATAGACTATAGTATGAAGCTGACTAGGTTCCCCAAATTGCTGCACACAAATGAATGATTGCACCGGAATTCCCAGAGAAATCAGGATGCATTAACAGTCACCAATCAGTTTGTAAATGAACTGCAGCCAATGACTCATGTCAGTAACAAGCAAACAATTTTGTACTGATTAACGATATTATGAGCTGCAGTCAATTACTTATGAAAACATCTGTAAAGAATTTTTTTAATTAGCTGCCAAAGTCTGGCTGATTCCATGTGTGAGGATCAGTCATTCTTGTTCATGGCACATTTCAGCCACTCATATCGGTATACTATAATGCAGGAACATTACAATTTAAAAGAGAATTATACCTCAAGAATATAAGCAGCATGAGATTCTGATGGAAAGACTTTACTCTTTTTTTTTTTTTTTTTTTTTGCTATGATTTTCAGCATAGGCTGAGGACCTGCAGTTCTCACTGAATTCAATGAAGAACTGCAGATGCTCAGCATCTCCGTAGACCTAGTTATTAGTTACAGTACAAATATACAATACCATCAGGAACACCAACTATAAATCTTACTATTTTTACACAGCTCCCCAGTCAGAGACCTTGACTTCAAAAAATAAAAACCCTTATGTCTTTCTTTGTTCCCCAGTGAATAACTCCTTATATATTAGGAACATCACTGAATCAGTCTGCAGGTTTGGTACTGCTATCAGAGCCAAGCAAATGACCCTGGGGAAGAGAGTGTTTCTGTGAAACCTGAAACCAAAAATGGTAGGGCAAGCAAAGAGAAATATGTTGAAAACTTTCAAGAGTGCAACCAAGCAGCAAGCCAAAACCAAAAAATGACCATAGCCTAAGCAATGTCTATAGCAGAAAATGAGAACACAACCAGAATTTCTATGATGGTTATTAGGGATATTGTTATTCCCCATCCATCTAACAGGGATGGTACTCAGATACTCTGATGATGTTCAACAATCGAAACCCCCAAAACAGGTAGATTTTGGCAAAGAACTACTGGTTTTCGGAAAGTCAATGCAAATGACTTTACATCAACTTTAGTGGATCGATTTCACCCTACATATTTTAAGTTTTGGGTGTTCTTGGGACATGCCTTGAAGAGGTCTTGTTTTCAGCAAGTGATGAACGTCTAACCCTTTACTTATTATATGTTCTAGAAAAATAAGGGCTTGCTTATACAAATTGCTAGTGTGCAGCAAGTTGGATATAAATCTATCTTGCAGTAGCTTGGTGTGCATTCACTTTGTGTGTGGACCATGCAGCACAATAAAAGTTCCATAGTGCATTTTAATCCCATTTTGAAATTAGGCTTTAAATTGTAATTTACAGCACATCAAGAGTTACATTCTCACAGCAGCTTCCCAATCATTTCAAGATTTAGTTAAAAAATGGTCTGTTTGTTTTCAGAACTGCTCTTGGACTTGCTCCAGCCATTCTCACGTACCACTCTTTCTCACCCTGCTACCGCTGTTCGTCTAACGCTGGCCTTCTCACCATTCCTCCATGCACTCTGGCCGTGGCAGGGGAGAGAACCATCACTTTGGCAGCTCCTTCCATCTGGAACAGCCTTCTCATGTCTTTTCATCTCTCTGACATACCAGCCCTCTGCTGAAAGCGCCGTCCTTCCTTTCTCATGTAACTCAGTTTCTTTTTGCCCTTTGCTTTAATTAACTTGACAAAAATACTATTTATTATCGAATTCTCCTTTTCTTTAGCTTTGTAGGAATGACATTATAGTTCAAGACATTCCATAAAATGACATGTTATTGCAGCACATGAAATTTTGGTCAGGAGCAATGTTAAACCACATTAAAACCTTTGAGTGAATTTATAAGCTGAAAGACAGAAACTTTCTAATGAGGGTAATCTCTTAACTCCCCCACATCGCTTATGCTATTGTTTTGATATAGAAAAGCAAAGCTTGAAAGGATGCTGTATGACTTACTCCTAGCATGCACAGCTATTCTTTGGTTTGCCTGTCCACATGTCCCTAACAAGGGCAATCACACTGTTTTTTTGCACTTGCATATTCTACAGGAGAGCTTGTTAAAATCCAAATGAATCTGTCAGCACAAATGATGGAATCCCACATGACAAGAGCAGGGATTAGTGTGACAAAACATCTGCCTATGTTGACACACAATGTCAAGAGAAATGAAGCTCCACCAGACACTGATCCATGCAGCTTAGCATCCGCACTTTGCCACTGACTCCTCTGTGACAGCTGGGTGCACTCGCACGATAAGTGTGATGCAGCCATGAAGAGCACAAGGCTTATTCTACAGGAGGCTTCCTGACAGCTCTGCCTTAGGAGTTTATGCTGAAAGCATTTATAGTGCTATAAATGCTTCCTTCTCTCTTTCACCGTGAATTCTTAAAGACTGGTTCTCCTGAGAAGGCAATTTACTTACTTGGGATAATTCCTTTGATGAAAGTTGGGTAGAATCTCTGTGTTCTGCCTTGAATGGAGAAGCAGTAAATCTTGAAATCTTTCTGTCAAAGGAGAAAAGAAAAACAGATTTCAGGTTGTGACTTCATGTTATAAAAGTTCAGCCCATCAGTAAGCAAACAGTATCATAAGAAACGGCCACACTGGGTCAGACCAAAGGTCCAGCTAGCCCAGTATCCTGTCCTCTGACAGTGGCCAATGCCAGATGCCAAGGGAGTGAACAGAACAGAGAATCATCGGGCTATCCATTTGCTATTGCCCATTTCCAGCTTTTGACAAACACTGTCCATTCTCTTCTATGGTATGGTTTTAACTAAGGCACCCACTCTAGACCATTAATAACAAAAACACATCCACTAGAAAACTAGAAATCAGTCTTTTAAACTACATTTTATAATATTGATGCCTTTTGTACTTACTATTAGGTTGGTTTTTTTTAATTCTGAACCAGTAGCACCATTAAGCCCCAACTGATGATACCAGTCTCTACTTTAGTTGTATGTATTATTCTAATTTGGAAAGGTAGATGGGTATACTGGCTTTATTCCTTCCAGTCTAAGAGGTCTCAAAGAGTCACTTCTCATCCATCCATGCCCTCACATGGGATTTCTCAGAGGTTCCATTCTGTTATTTCACCAGCTGAATATGAGTACTGTGCCAGCCATACATTACACAGCTCTTTGGCTCTCAGATGTAAGATCCTCATGGCATACATTCCTTGCCTTCCCTACGCCTAGAAACAGGGATCTGGGTGAAAATGACACAACTGAAGGGCAATCCTGAAAATATGGAGGTGATAATACTGATTGTACTGAATCTCTCTACTGTACTGATTGTACTGAATCTCTCTACTGCCTTCCTACCTCTCCGTTGGTACATTGCAATGTGCTTAAAGGATATGGCCTAATACTCACTGAAGTCAATGGGAGTTTAGTATTGACTATAATAGAAATAGAATTGGACTGGTATTTGGAAGCTTCAGTACAGAATGCAGCAGTCCATTTCACCAGTGAAATGAAGTGAGAGCACAATACAGTGATGTGCTGCAAACTGGATGGGCTTCCCATCTGTTTCCCAATGCAATGCATGTTATTGGCACTAATCTGTAGAGGGTTATAGAATCAAGGACCTCACTGCCTTGCAGATAACAATGGCTGAATTAAAATAGCTACATTTATCAACAGTCTTTAGATGTGAATGGTGTAGGGCTGGGAGGAGAGAGTTTTCTGTTGCAAATACCTGGCTTCAAAACCCTCTCCTAGTGGACACCTTCCAGAACATGAGATTGCTGGCCTTCAGAACATGGCATACAACTGGGGATGTAAAATACTATTTAATGGTAAACCAGTTAAATGTGATGTTTCAGGGTTAACAAACGGCAGTGGGCGGGGGCTGCTCCAACCCCCCCCCCCCCCAAACACACACCACAACATAGCCAGGATGGTGCAGACCCCCTTCCCCCCCCACACACACACACTGCAGACTGGGGCTGCTTTATGCTGGCAGGTGCAGAGGGCAGAGAGCTTCTCTAGTCCCCACTGGTTAACTAGTTAACTTTTCACATCCCTACGTACAACTTATATTTGGTTACATATTTGCTTAATGTTAAATCTTACAGGCAATTTAAATTAGTGCACAATGTATTTTTGAAGATATTCAGCCAGGTACCAGAGCAACAGATGATTATAAAGGATCCTACAGTAAATCAGTATTTTCTGATCCATAATATACACACAAAGTGAAATATAAAACTGTGCATTTAAGTGGCTAACAGTTGCCTTTATGCAAAATGGGATTACAATCAGATACTACAGTTTTCTGAAATGTACTTTAAGAGAAACACACATGTGAAGTGCTAATGGTTGAACAATCCCAAAACCGGGATATGAGTTTGACCAAAACCAATCTTTATTGTCTCCAACCCTTTTTGTTCCCATAAATTAATGTCAGTAAATTAATCTACAGATCTACTATGCACATGGGATTAATTAGATCCCACCTTTTGCACATTTTAGCAAAACACAAGTTTCAAAAGCTTCACTCATTGACAAAGGAATTTCTGACTCTTCCCTGCAGGATTTTATGTTCCTGTGCCCATGAATTACATTCTTCAATATAAAGCACATCATTTAGTAATTGCTAGCAGATGTGATATGGACAATATATTTCATTTTAGGATAGAATTATGCCTTCAAGAGTCAGTGCTTCCCATTTCACCCCATCTTCTTCAAGGCTGATATATAGTCGTAGTGATGGGGGAAAAAAGAATATTCACAGAATCCCACTAGGAAGACCTAGATCTGAACATTTTCCATCAAAAATTGTTTTTTTGTGAAAAATTAGGTTTTCTTTCTGCAGAAAATTTCTGAACAAAAAGCTGAATGTCCAAAATGAGAGAAGTTATTTAACAAAAAACCAAAACATTTGAACTTTGACATGCAGCTAAGCTGCCTCATAGGAGCTGTAGTCTGAATGCCCCATTTCCGCACTCTCCTTTATGAGCCAACCTCCCTGTCTTGAATACAGCTCCCATGATACACTGCATGCAACTCTCATGATGTACAGGCTCTTGGGAAGGGAAGGCAATGTAAGGACGGAGTTTTGGGAGAGAGATGGAGGGAGGGGAGGAGGAGGGCAGCAGCAGTGCATACTGGGACACAGCTTGCTTTTCTTCCAGTTCCCCTGACTATCAGAGAGCGAGGAGAAAATACTTGCATTCCATGAATTTAAGAGTAATTTGTGGAATCCAAGTACCTTTCCCCTTGCTCCTTGATCATCAGTGAAACAGGAAGAAAAACAAACCGCCTCCTGGTATGCACTGCTTCTGCCCTCCCTGCTCTCCTGAAATGCTGTCCTTGAGATTGTGGTGCAACATGGGAGATGTAGTCTAAACAAGAAGCCTGGTTAGCAGATGAGAATAGGAGCATGAAGCATTTGAAGTGCAACTCCCATGGATCACTAGGGTGCAATACTCAGGCCAGACTCCAACAAGACAATAGCTATGAGAAAGTTAAAAAGGTTTGCCTGCTTCATCACCGGGGTATGGTGGGTAAAGCTGGGACCAGAGAGTAACATCTCAGTCCTAACCTGGAACTCTGGGACCAGGTCAGGGCCTTTGTTTAAAGTATTACAAATCATGCAGTTACTTCGTGTGTCTATTTAAAGGTGCAGTCAGCCAAATTCTGTTTGACTGTGTAAAGGCTGACGCTCACTGCAGGAGTCATCCTACTTCACCTGGGCTGTAACAGACTACAACAGTAACTGGCCTTTGAATAGGACACGCAAGGTGCTTTATAATATGCTCAGTGGAGGGGGAGTTTCTTCCACCCCATGAAGGTTGGTCACAATACGGATTTTAACGTGGCACCCCAATAATAGGTCACTACAAGTTGTATGCACAAGTTAGGAATATTCTCTAGTTTAGTTTACATGGGGTTTTGAAAGTGTTACGTATAAGTGTATGCGGTGAAAAAAGCTTGAGGACAGATAGGACACTCCTCAGCAAGCAGGTAGACAATTCGTATCACCAGTGTTTGTCTGAAACAGGCACAGCCTGGGGGGGGCATCCCAAATCAGAAGACAGGCTTGCTCTCTCTCCTCCTCTCCCACCCATTCTCCTGGCCTTTCTCGTTGATGCAGGCCACTTGGCAGTATAGCAGCACTGAATTTGACTTCTTGAGAGTGGTTTCCAATAACATGACTGTTCTGGCCAATATTCAGGAGGATGTGGCCAATCACATTGACATGAACCAGAGTGCACATCTCTCTTATTGGTCTGATTTCCAGGCCAGTTAGACAAAACCACTTCAAACTATGGGCAGTTTCTCAGCAGAGATGGGCTTTGTATCCTCCTCTCCTTATAGGCTTTGCTTCTTCTTCCATGCCAATAGGCTAGAAATACCTTCTCACTCTACAATGCATGTATCTTACATACTCCTCAAACAAGTGAAACCTCCAGCCCCTGAAAATTATTAATAGGAAAATATATAATACTATTGATGTCTCCCTCCCTCTGCACTCCTTCCCACCCATGTGTATCTAAATTAGACTAAGTTCTTTAGTGCAAGAATTTATGTCTTTATTTAATTGGGTTTATTTAGATTTAAATAAGTAAAAAGATAACCTATACAAAGATCTAGACACCCTAACACACCCTATCACCAATAAAATCTCAGCAGTATGAAAATAATCAGTTCAACAGAATATAACCAAGACAGACACCTAGCAAAACGTCTTTCCAGCCCTACCTAGCATCTATAGCTCCCATTGTCTTCTACTGCAGTTTTGAGTACACACCATCTCCGAAAAGACCAGCCCTATTCTGCTTTGACCTCATCTCTGTTACATTTATGCAATTCCATTCACTTCGTGGAATTACTGAATATAATGGAGAAGAGAATACTTTATAAAATTGCAATTGCACTGTCTTCCAGTAGCTATCAATTTATAGAGGCAGAATGGTGCATTTCAAATGACATTATCCTTTTTGATTATATTACCATCCATGACATTCTAAAATAGGATAGTACAATACATTCATCTGTAAAAATACTAAATGGCAATGACTGGAAAATATAGCATATTAAGAGACATGTCCTCAAAGCATTCTGAACTATCTACCAAGTCATGTTTCCTTATTCTAAAATGTGCAAGTAGTGATATAAAGTGGCCCAAATGGAAAACATATCATGATGATTCCTTGCATCTTCCTAACATTTATCAGCCAAGAACCTCAAAGTACATAACAATTACATTGCACAAAAATCCCTGGAATTATCATCTCCATTTTATAGATGGGCATGGTATAATAAAGATAGCTTAAGGCCTGATATTTCAGAGGTGCTGTGCATGTACAGTTCCTATTAATTCAACACTTTAGAAGATCATGACATAAGAGACGGACCAAAGTCATCTGTTACAGTGCTGGAATAAAAGTCCAGGTCTCTTGACTCCCATTCTCTTGCTCCCTCTCACCCTGTTCATGAAATTCATTACAGAAATTAATAACAATACATCATCTATTCTAATTAAGGCAAATGATCCT